CACCATCCCAAAGAAAAAGAAATGCAAGAAAGCAAAGTGGCTGTCTGATGAGGCTTTAGAAATAGCAGAAGAAAGAAGGAAAGCAAAAGGCAAAGGCGAAAAGGAAAGATTTACCCAACTGAATGCAGATTTCCAGAGAACAGCAAGGAGAGATAAGGCGGCTTTCCTGAATAAACAATGCAAAATAATAGATGAAAACAATAGAATGGGAAGGACTAGTGATCTCTTCAAGAAAATTGGAGAAATCAAAGGATCGTTCAATGCAAAGCTGGCCATGATAAAGGACAAAAATGGTAGGGACCTAACAGAAGCAGAAGAGATTAGGAAAAGATGGCAAAAATACACAGAAGAACTATACAAGAAGGACCTCAATGTCCTTGACAACCACGACGGTGTAATCACTGACCTTGAGCCAGACATCCTGGAATCCGAAGTCAAATGGGCCTTAGAAAGCATTACTAACAGCAAAGCTAGCGGAGGTGATGGTATACCAGCTGAGGTATTCAAAATCTTAAAATATGATGCTGTTAAAGTGCTGCACTCAATTTGCCAGCAAATTTGAAAAACACAACAGTGGCCACAGGATTGGAAAACGTCATTTTACATTCCAATCCCAAAGAAGGGCAATGCCAAGGAATGTTAAAACTATCACACAATTGCACTCATTTCACATGCTAGCAAGATCATGCTAAAAATCCTACAAGCTAGGCTTCAGCAGTATGTGGATAGAGAACTGCCAGAAGTACAAGCTGGGTTTTGAAGAGGTAGAGGAACTAGATATCAAATTGCCAACATTCACTGGATTATGGAGAAAGCAAGAGAGTACCAGAAAGATCTACTTCTGCTTCATTGACTACGCTAAAGCCTTTGATTGTGTGGATCACAACAAACTATGGCAAATCCTCAAAGAGGTGGGAGTACCTGTATAAGGGTCAAAAAGTGACAGAGCAGCATATGGAACAATTGATTGGTTCAGCATAGGAAAAGGAGTACGACAAGGATGTATAATGTTCCCTTGCTTATTTAATTTATATGCAGAGTACATCATGCGAAATGCCAGCCTGGATGATTCAGAAGCCGGAATTAAGATTGCTGGGGAAAACATCAACAACCTCAGATATGCAGACGATACCACTCTAATGGCAGAAAGTGAAGAGGACCTAAAGAGCCTCTTGCTGAGAGTCAAAGAGGAGAGCGCAACAGTTGGCTTGAAACTCAACATAAAAAAAACTAAGATCATGGCATCCGGCCCCATGATTCCTTGTTTGGTGTAGTGGTTAAGTGCGCGGACTCTAATCTGGGAGAACCGGGTTTGATTCCCCACTCCTCCACTTGCACCTGGCTGGATGACCTTGGGCAAGCTGTAGTTCTGATAAGAGGTGTTCTTGAAAAAGAGCAGTTTTTGTCAAGAGCTCTTTCAGCCCCACCTACCTCACAGGGTGTCTGTTGTGGGGAGGGGAAGGGAAAGGAGTTTGTAAGTCACTCTGAGACACCTTTGGGTAGTGAAGGGCGGGGTATAAATCCAATCTCTTCTTCTTCTTCTTCTTCTTCTTCTTCTTCCTTCTTCCTTCTTCCTCTTCTTCTTGGAAAATAGAACGAGAAGTCGTGGAAGCAGTGACAGACTTCACGTTCCTGGAATCCAAGATCACTGCAGATGGTGACTGCAACCATGAAATTAAAAGACGCCTGCTCCTTGGGAGGAAAGTGATGGAAAACCTTGACAGCATAATAAAAAGTAGAGACATCACCCTGCCCACAAAAGTTTGTATGGTCAAAGCAATGGTATTCCCAGTAGTCATGTATGGCTGCAAGAGTTGGACTATAAGGAGGACCGAGGGCCAAAGAATAGATTCTTTTGAATTATGGTGCTGGAGAAGACTCTTGAGAGTCCCCTGGACTGCAAGAAGATCAAATCAGACAATCCTAAAAGAAATCAACCCTAACTGTTCCCTGAAAGGCCAGATACTGAAGCTGAAGCTCAAATACTTTGGCCACCAAATGAGAAGGGAGCACTCACTGGAGAAGGCCGTGATGCTGGAAAAGATTGAAGGTCAAAGAAGAAGGGGACGGCAAAGGATGAGATGGTTAGACAGTGTCATAGATGCAACGAACCTGGCGTGATATGGTCCATGGGGTCGTGAAGAGTCGGACTCGACTATGCGACTGAACAACAAATATCACTATGGCATTACAGTGCTATAGCAATTAAACAGGGACCAATTTTTAAAGTCCTCCAGTGACATAGGGGGTGGGTACTGGGGTAAATGGTGGTCTCATTGGCTGAGGCAAGGAAAGGGCACAGACAACTGCCATGTATATTCCTCTGCATAAGAGCTACACGGAGAATTGTTGTCACATGGAAGCAACTAACAAGTCCCAATGGAAAGGAAACTGTCCAAAGCACTCAACTTATTTTTTTGCCTCCATTTTTAATGGGCTGCACACTGATGCACAGAACTACATTTTGGTCATCATCTTCATATTTTGATTGGTAAATATGGGTTTTCTGGCCCCATCGGCTGCTTGAAGCCATTATCACCACCATCTGATGCACTGTAGGGACTTTTTTTGCCATCAAGTCACAGCTGACGTATGGCAATCCTGTGGGGTTTTCAAGGTAAGAGACATTCGGAGGTGGTTTGCCATTACCTGCCTCCATGTCACAACCCTGAACTCCCTTGGTAGTTTCCCACCCAAATACTAACCAAGGCCAACTCGACATAGCTTCCAAGATCTGATGAAATCAGGCTAGCCTGGGCTATCCAGATCAGGGCAGGGAAATACTACAGTGACAATATATTGTGGTTGCTAAATTTGGGTCTTCAACAGTCCATGAAAACTAGAATTTGAAACCTGGAGGTTACCTATTGCACAGAGTTTTTATCTATTGCAGAGGTCTTCGCCTGCAAGCTGCCACTGCTCTACAGTGAACAACATGATGCCTGTAGTGTACTTAGGCATAATCATTGTTATAGCTAGGATACAGTTGTCACATGTACATCCTGAACTAGGCAGGCTTTCCTCCACTCCTTACTCAACAGCCTGTAATGACAGCCTACAAATGTCATACAACTCGTCTCAAAGAATTGGACCTCAAAGGATGTTTGATTTCAGTCCTCAGAATTAGGGATGGGCACAATCCTAGAAAAGGTGGTTTGGTTCAGAGCGGCCCATGGACTGAACCCCGAATGGGCCCTACACAAGCCAAACCAGTCTGGCAAATTTAGTTCCCCCTTTGTCCCAGCCACGGTTCACCATGGCCAGGAAAAAGGGGGGGTTGCCTGGAAAAGGACTTCCTTTCCCCCTTTCTCCCAGCCACACCTCACTGTGGCCAGAAGAACGGGGCAGGGATTTCCCAGGAAGTTGTTTCATTTAACCCTTCATTTTTGCTCGACACCGCTTCAAGGGGGGGAGCAAAACAAAAGGGTTAAATGGCAGCCATTTAACCCTTCATTTTTGCTCCTCCTCTTTGGTTTAGCTCCCCCCTTTCAAAGTGGCAGGGAGGAAAACTAAAGGGTTAAATGGCTGGCAGTCAATTAAACCTAACAGCTGAGAAACAGACCCTGCACCACTCAGCGGTTAGGTTTAAATGGCTAGTCCCAAACAGCCGAGCTGAACCAACCAAAAGCTCAGTAAATGTTTGGGGAATGTGCCTTCCCCGAACATCAGTTCCTGAGCTCTGAACAGGTCCAAGTGTGGCCCAGATTTTGGTTCATGAGCCGGTTCATGCCCATCCCTAGTCAGAATAGGCCATACAAAATAAGAAGGAAAGAATTGCATTCTAGTAATTTTCTCTCTGTATTTAATGGCAAACCACCTCTGTTTGTCTCTTGCCTTGAAAACATAACTTGGGTAGACATAACTCAGTTGTGATTTGATGGTACTTTCCACCATTTAATGGGTTGCAGAAATAGCATCTTTGTATAGCATATAATTGTAACAGAGGAAAAGGGAGCTAAAATGTTTCACTTTACATTTTCACATACATAATACATTTTTTAAAGTTTGCATCGCTCCTTGTCTTCTCACCCCTCCCCATCTGTGTGCCAAATATGGAAGAAATTTTGTAAAACATAGCCATGAGATTTGTCCATTAACCAAGGTTCACTATCAGCACACATAAAGCCAGATGCAATTTTGGCACCCTATAAAAACACAATTTTAGAGCCCCACTTACCTTGCCTGCTGGATCCCTGTTGCGAATCCTCACCAAATATGTTTCTTATCTGATGGCTCTGGTAGTATATTTGCTCTCTTCCCAATGCAGATGCAGACTAAGGTGGTAGTAAAAATATTCTTCATGCAAACTCTACCTTTAAAAACTGTAATGCATTTTCAGTGGGTCTGTTTTATGATTGGTCCAGATGCAATTCTACCCATACCCCGTCTTCGTTCATTCATCATGTATGACACTATGATTGAGCATTCTTTTATGAATGAGTTTGCATAGGAGGATGAGGGTAATGATGACCTTCAGAGAAATTGCACTCCTTTCCTGTTTTATTAACCCCTGTAATTCTAAATGACAAAGTAGGTATATTACATCTATAAAATGAATTCCTCCAGTTCAATCACCCTTTCCTGGAATAAACTTGACAGCCTAATAATTCAAATAGTGTTTTCATGCCAATTTTTTTTTAAAAAATATGGGGTTGATGAACCCACATATCTCCCCAAGAGTTGGGACTCTCCACTGATTTTGGCTTCTATGATGATGATACTGCTTTCCAGTGAAATAACAGCTGCCTTAGTTAAATCCTGAAGACCATGAGCATAAAAGCATCAAGGTTTATCCCAGCACTTTTGCCAACAGAACTGGACCATGTACAATTTCAGCAGGGTCTCCCTACTGTTTAAATAGTTTAATTCTTTCAGTGCAATATCATATAAACAATGATTAATAATTTGCACAAACAATGCATACAAAAATTTGCTCTTATTGACTTTCTCAGTTATATATACATAGATTTTCTGATAAAAGTGAGAAATGGAGTGACAGTTAACATTTAACATTAATCAGAGCTCTTCTCACAGGATTTAATCCAGACTAAACTGGCACCTATCCAGTTTCTACCAATCCTCCATCTCACTGCAGACCCTCTCATGTATATCTCAGGGTCCCCTATCCCCTCCCTCAGGAGCAGCATGTTGTGGAGATGAGTGGGCTACAGTGGGAGTGGGGAGGCAGGAAAGTTCCATTCTGCCACTGTAAAATTTAGTCTGGATTCAACCCATATTCTGGTTTTACAAGGGCAGTGTCAGAAAGTTCTCATGTTCACCTGTAAACCTCAACTATTTGATCAATTCTAACAAATGTGAAAAATGCATCCTACTGTCCATAATTTACTTGTAAAGGAGAATATTTACCAAGACAAGTTTCTAAATGGCCCAAGTCTAACTTTTAGATACAGATATTTCTGACATCTTCCAGTAAACCTCCAGGCATACACTTTTAGCACAAAAGCTGTCAATGTATCTCTTGTGTATGCATACTGTTTTTACAGTGAGGTTCTTCATTGGCTGATCTCATATCAGAGTCTATTTCTAATTGTAGAGAAGTTAAAAAAAAAAACACAGTTCAGCTGTTCAGTGCAGAAAGCCAAGAGTCCTTTTTCTCTGCCTTGCCTGTTCTGTCTCTGAGGCCCCTAGATGTGATGCATGTTACACGGATGTAATGTTTCATTATAGCACACAAGCATAAAATACAGCATGTATGGGTCTAGGCTACACCACTAATTTCTGGATTCTTTTCTAGGGTATTGATCACACTGGCCTCTGTGCATTGGACAGAGGTAGGAAAGCTGCAGTATCTCTCTCCCAACATGTACAGAATGAAGACTTGGTCAGAATTTCTAAATCATACCTTAAAAAGCTCTCTGATATTTTTTTTTCTATGAATAAACCAAGATATATGCCCCTTATCATTTCCCTCTAGCTATTTTTCTCTATTAAAATAAGAGCTGAGAAAACAAAGCAAGGATTAGATTCCCTACCTGAATATCATCTGAAACAGAGGGGAACTTGGCTTTGAGCCTCATGTCAACCATGCCTCCAGTAGGAGGCAATTTGTTTGGAACACTGTTGTAATAGGGGTGTTCTGTTGCCTCACCTTCTTCTTCCAACCAAAGTTCATCCAAACTTTGCATCCTATGAGATAAAAGCTCTGTTATTTTGCTTCTTGGCTTTCCCAGATTCACCATACCATAAGAATATCCAAACTGCGGCAAATATATCCAGTTCCTGAATTGTAAAACGTCTTTGTTACATCAACCTATCAGCCTGATCCCAAACTTTGTGAGGCTACTTGAGTTGGGTCAATAGATTTCCAGTTGGCCTATATATCTTCAGGATTAACATAACGGACACTATTGGTAACTGTTTCCTATACACAATAGTGGTAACTATTACAATTCACTATTTTCTACTCATATATCTTAGACAAAAGTAAATCCTTTTTGCATCTTGACATCAGGTGCTTTAACAACATATCTACAGATGGGCACAAACCAGAAAAATGCTGTTTGGTTCACAGTTTGTGGCATGCCCCATTTGCGAACCATGGACCATCACAAACTTTTAGCCACCTCTCAAACTGGTTCAGTTTGTGAGGCTCATGAGGCAGGAGAACAGCCCTCCAGCAAGTTAGAGACACCAAACGCGTAGAGGATCTCCAGCTGACTTTCCTCTACCCACCCTCCAAGTTTGGTGAGTATCGGATTTACGAAGTCCAAGTGAAGCCTCCCCAAAGAAGGTACCCCCAGGAAAGTGCTTTCTGGGAGAATGACAGGCAGTCATTTCCCCAGAAAGCACTTTCCTGGGGGGGCCTTCTTTTGAGGGCTGTACCTCTAACCCCGTAAATCTAATACTTACCAAATGTGGAGGGCAGGTTCAGGAGTGTATAGAACTGATCTTGTGCAGGCTAGAGACACCAAACTTGGAGGGCATGTAGAAGAGCATACACAGGAGGTCTACTGTGAATTTGGTGTCTCCAGCTTGCATAGGACCTGTTCTATACACTCCTGAAACACCTGAACCTGCACATGTCAAAATGACTGCTGACAGGCGGTCATTCTGACAGTGCAGGTTCAGGATGTTCAGAAGTGTCTAGAACAGGTCCTATTCAAGCTAGAGACACCAAACATCCTGTGTATGCTCTTCTACATGCCCTCCAAGTTGTTGCTTAGAATTTATGTAAACAGTTTGGGTGGAGGCAGTCTGTCTTGAAATGTCTCTGCTCATGAACCAGCACGAACCTCCATGAAAAGTTTGTGGAAAGTTCCTGCCAGTTGACCAGACATGAATTTAACTTTACGAACCACAAACCGGCCAAAATGTGTCACAAACTTTTAACATGACTTCAAATATTATGCAATATGTATTACCAACAATGTCCTAGCGGGATCTCCTACTGAGGGGATCTAATTTTTCAGGAACTTGCAATCTACCTTTTCAATCCTCCAAAATATAGTCAAAGACCCAACTTACTATAGAGAAGCTCCTTCTTCCACTCATGTGCACAGAGGAAGAGATAGAAGGGATGCTACTCAAGTGGTGCTTGACAATGAAACAGTTTTGATCATGATTGTGTTTCCTGTTCCAGCAGAACAAAGTTTGAGTCCAGTGGCACCTTTAAGACTCACCTATCATGAAGAGCAGGAATCTTTGAAGGGCACTGCAAGTATTGCTTAAAACGGAGTTCAAAGGCTTGCCCTATGGTGCTGATGATATCCTGGGCTAGGCCATCACAGCATTCCAATATGTGACACGCTAAAAGTGATGGAAGAACAACAAAAATATTCAAGAATATATCCTCAGAGATTTCAATACTATGGTGTCACCCTTCATTTTATAAAACAAATAAAAGCATGGAATGTGAAAGTCACAGAACTGGTATGTGGATTTTTTTTTTTTTTAAGGAGAGCTACCAAGTCATGTGAACCTTATGGGGAAGAATTCTGCTGATATCTTTGGTCCATCTGCCTTCTGACATAACAACCCTGAATTTGATCTGACATTCTGAACATATTTTACTGCTCAGTATTATCCAAGGTGCAACATAATATTATTTTTTTAATTTATATTTCCTGGCTAATATTTCTAGTAATGGGAAAATCGCTCTGCAAAAAATAGCTCTGCATCATCAGAGCTCCCAGGAAGCAGTGTGAGCCCCATTTAATGCCATCCCAAGCAGAGTTATACCCTTCTAATTCCAATGAAGTAAACAGGCTGAAAAGGGTGTAACTCTCCTGAAGATGGCCCTGTTAGTCATTTCAGATGGATCCAGAAACAGCTTAGTTGCTGGACAAAGCCAGGCTTTTGCAAGAGCACAGCTGCTTGTTGAGTTGCAAAAAAAATAATACTTTGCAAGAGGCCACATAACAAATGATTTTGCTTGAGATGGGAACCAAAAGAAAAATACATAACTCTATTGTTCATCCCTAAAACATGCCTAACTTGTGTAATTTAAAATGACTTCAAGCTTTAAAAAAAACCTCACTTGGCTTTCTTTTCTTATGTATCAGGCAATGCAGACTTCTGGATTAGAAGACAGTGGGTGTGAGAGGAAGTGAAGGCTTCTAGATTTAGATTTAACTATTACTACCTCCACCACAACTTAATACTATCATGTTTTCTGTGAAAGGGCTGTGGGTAACATGCAGAGGCAAGAGTCTAATATTCTAGTGAGGTCTGGTAATCAAAAAGTGTCATGGTCCCTCTGGCTACCTTTAACATTGGAGCTGCTCTGATATCTTGATAGCCTTAGGCTGGAGGTTGAGCAGTGGCAACCATTGTACAGTGGGTAGCAAATAGCCAGAGCCATTGATCAATGAACAAGACCCCTTGCACTTACCAGTGGTTGTTCTGCAATGTTAAAGGTCAGGTGTGGCAAGAGCAACACCATGCAAGATGGTAATTGAAAGCAGCACCTTCTGCTGACTGTCAACATCGTCAGCTTCTGCCCATGTAGGATGCTAATTAATTAATTATCATATGGCATTGTGTGTAGAATAGCCAGGAGATCCTAGGATTGTCTGGAAGCTGCAAGTTCTAGCTCTTAGCATTGTGCTAGTGGTGAGCTAGACTTGTTTTTAGGGGCTGAGAGAGCTCTGAAAGAACTGTGACTGGCCCAAAGTTACCCAGCTGGCTTCATGTGGAGAAGTGGGGAAATGAACCTGGTTCTCCAGATTAGAGTCCGCTGCTCTTAACTGCTACACCAAACTGGCTAGGGTGCTGCTGGCCAGCAATGCACTTGCACAGTGCTTCAACCTGCTATAAACACATAGGCTCCCCACTCTGCCTTCCTCACGTCTCAGTGACAGCCATTTGCACTCTGATGCACATCCTTACCAGCCATTGTTGATACTGAGAACTGTGGAGGTTATATCATTTGGATCCCGATAAAAAAACACTTTCCCTCAAATTAAACCTCGTGGGCATCAGCCGGTGTCAAATCTCACTTTGCATAGTTTGCCATAGATGCTGGGGGAGGGGCGCATTCCTGTGGGGAGGGGAGTGAATGTGGTGTGAGTGGGACCTATCGCTTATAGCAGCAGTAATATTCCTGAATATACCTTCCTCTGGAAGAGGAATGACCTTGAGTCTTTCAGTGCCAGCTTCACATAAAGGGTTCGTATGTTCCCAAGGGAGGTTGGGCAACGGCTAGGCGGGATGAGTGAATTGTGTGATTGGTTCAGGGCAAGGGGGTCTTGTTTGAATTATATATATCTGCTTTGGTGTACGCCAAATTGCTAGTTCTAACACAGTATTGTTCTGATCTGGATCTTGCACATATCTCAACAAACATATCACTGCCAAAGAGAGTGTTGTTGCGAGTAACTGGACCAGGAGTCTGACACCTGAAAGGTCTGGGCTTACAAGTAATACCCAGAGACTGTAAAAGCCATTGAGCAGTTTCATGCTGTGTCAGATGAATCTGAATGTGGGGAAACGAAGTTCAAATCAGCTTCGAAGATCAGCAGGTGGGTTGAGCAAGTTGCCACCTCTCCGCTTCACCTACCTTGTGAAATGCTGTTTTGCGCTCTTTAGAGATGGAGGTGGGGCAGATATAAATATAGCAAGGAGCCAAATAAATTAAGTATGATACACATCATTAGAAAGTTGTTATAAATAAAGTACAGAGGTAACCTAATCTGAGCAGCTTATATTTTCAAAAGGAAGAAAATAACTGTGTATTTATTTATATATTTAGAATATTTCCACACCGCCTCTTCAGAGTCCTGCTGGAGGCAGCTTATAATGAAAAACCACAGTATTTTAAAAAAGGGGGGGGAAAGAATGTAAAGCAGAACTTTACCTCTGCGATTAACAGGGTCCTTGGCTACATATGCAACATAGTCTGTTGTATCCTGGGGGAAGGGGTGGGAATGAAAAAAAGAAAAGCATCTGTGGTGAATAGGCGACTTTCCCTTCATGCAGCAATAAAGGTGCATTGCATTTCATTTGAGTATTTGCAACTGATTGCCCGTGTTTGGATACCATGGCGACGAGTGTGTTATAAATATCAACCAGATACTAAAATTTGATACTAGAGCAGCTAAATTAGTTGGGCAGGCAGAAACTCCTGCGGGGGCAACCCTACAATGGAACAGAGTACACTGTCTGCAACAAAGATGCAATCAAAACTGAAGTCTCATTTTTAGCATTTAGAAGAATGAGAGATGCAGATGATAAGGAAAACAGTCCTAACAGGATACCCTTCTTTCTGCATCCCGATGTGCGCTTGCTTTCTCAGGAGGAATTAGACAAGTGCATTGCAATCTCAGTCTTCTTGAAATTGCTCTGGTAGAAGCTCTGAGGACAGCCGAGGGATTTGTACATTATATACATGCTTTGAAAATTCTGGCCTGCCCTCCACTTGACACAGAATGAGGAGGAAGAATGGACTGTTTAGGTTTACCAGTCTCCATGTGGGGTCTAGAGAGCTCCTGGAATTACAAATTACCTCCAGACTACAGACACAAATTCGCTTGTATTATACCCTGATGGGGTCCCTCCCCTCCCTAAGCTCCATCCCCAAATCTCCAGGAATTTCCCGACCCAGAGTTGGCAACCCTAGGACTGTACCATATCAAACTGCAGGTGGGTGGTGTCACTTTTTTATTTCCTGCAAATAAAAAGCAGCACGTCAGAGAGAAAAGCTGTAACCTACTCCCTTCCTATGTTGTTCAAGATTTTCAGTTACAGGAAATGACTGACAACCAGAAATCTTTGAAAAGTCTGATTCTCCCACCTGCACTCTGACTTGGTACAGTCCATTCTACTCCTTCAGCATTTGGCTACTTGATAGGGTTGCCAGATCCTAAGCTCTCACTGGGTGGGAGACAGGGAGCTCTCCAGGAGGGGGGGGCAGGGTGACATTACCACGTGCGACATCCCTGACATGATGACATCATGTGGAAGTGACTTCATCATGCCAGGGACATTGCATGGAGATGCTCTGAGTTTTGCCCCAAATACCAGAGCGTTGCCACGTGATGTCCCCGGCTTGATGACATCACTTCTACATGACGTTATCATGTTGGGGGTCATCACGTTGGGATGTGGCAGTTGGGGTGGGGCTTCCCCCTGTCAGCCAGCTGGCTGGTGGTGGGCAGTAGCCTGTGAAATTGGGGGATCCTCTGCTCCCACCTGGGGGCTGGCAACCCTACCACTTGATCACCACCATCTCCTGAGCACAAAAAAATAGATGAAGGCCCATTCCTATGTCGGAAATACAATGGCAGATGGGATTCTGTGCTGCTTTTTCTAAAATATCATATTCTGCAGTAACTGGGGACTGATACATACAGTTGGGCACAGTTTCAACATTCATGCAGAGACCCTCTTCAGCTATGATGGACAACTGGACCCATTCTTATTTCTCTAAACACCTCAGTTAGATCACATCAAGGTCCCAGAGCCCAACATTCAGTTTTTAAAGCTCATTAATCTACTGCATTCATAAACGAAAGGAGGGGCCCTTCATCACCCCAGACTTTGGTGTATGCCCTAAACACCACCACATTAGCCTATTGGAGAAAAACAACATAGGGAGAGCCTTTGTTTGTAATTTGGGGGGGGGGAGATGCTCTTGGACCCAGGTAGGGTTGCCAACTCTGGGCTGGAGAATTCCTGGCATTTTGGGGAGTGGAGGGGGAGGGGGACAGAGCTTAGCAGGATATAATGCCATATGGCCCACCCTCCAAAGCTGTCATTTTCTCCAGGGGAATGATCTCTGTAGTCTGGAGATCAGTTGTAATTCCAGGAGACCTCCATGCCACACCCGGATGTTGGCAACCCCACACCCAGGTCTACTGCTGGATAAGCAGGGGGTAGCTGTGGCTGGGAGTGCCTTTAACCATCTTGAGCTAACCAGTCAGCTGCAGCTGTTTCTGGGCAGAAAAGATTTGGCCACTGTGGCACATGCCCTGATTACTTCAAGATTGGATTACTGCAGTGCCCTCTGCCTGGGGCTGCCCTTGAGAAGTGCTTGGAAAGTTCAACTGGTAAGGAATGCTGCAGCCAGGATGTTGACTAGAAATTTGTTTCTGAGCACAATTTTGTTTCTGAGCACAATTCAAGGTCCTAGTGTTGACCTTTAAAGTCTTATATGGCTGGGGACCATAATTTGCTAGCAGCCTTTGTGGCCGTAATGAAAGCAGAGAGGTGACGTATAAATGTCGTAAATAAACAAAATGATCTGTCTCTCCCCAGCCCCCAAATGAGTTCAAGTTGTGATTGTTGCCAATGATACTTTTCCAGTTCTTCTTAGTTCTAGATTTTTTTAATAATAGGTTTTCAGCCCTCAGTTATCATGGATCTAAACTGTTTGTCTGACTCCAAAAAAAACCCAGTTCCCTTATCAACATGTAGATGTATGACAATATGTTGATGACACATAAATACAAACACTAAAATGCCTTAACTAACTTTGGTAATTAATGTATGTTCCTTAGCTGATTAAAGGCTCTAAATGGATTTTTCCCTCTGTCTCCCCTCCCCCTTCTCTCTAGGTCTCACTGATCTGTCAGTTCTCTCAGTCTAGCACTGCCCAACAGGAGGTCAGGACCTGTGAACTGAGGTAGGCCACAACTTGCGTGAGATCTGCTCTAGCACCAGTGTTTAAGCAGAAGAAATATTTTTTTAAAAGAATTCTGGAAAAATATACAGAAAGTGATACAAGATATTATAGGCACAGAATTTCCATGGTTACCAGTTTATTGAGCTATAACTTAAAACAGCTTCTGGAAAAAAATGATATTTTGAGCTATATTTACTAGTGTCAACAAAAATGATATTTGCAAAAAATTGGAAACAATAACATATTCTACCAAACTTGGTATCAGAAATTATGGTTCATTATGCTTATGGACAAAATTTCTATGATAAAATCATCCAAGAACATACAAGCTCATAACTGTTTTGCTTAGCAATGGTCTCCTTTTACTGGATTATGGAACAAGAATTTTCCCTTGAAACATGTAAAGAAAAACGTGTTGGGTTGGAATTATCTCATTCTTGGTTTTTATGTACTTTTCTAACTTTCTAACACACACATGAACACTATACCACCAGACAACAATTAATACACCCACCAAACACCAGTTCACAATGCTGCCTTAAAATGTGAAGTAAAGTGGGAGGCATGTCTATGCAGAAGCAGCCCAAGTGCTATGTGTGAAGAAAGGCCATCGATAAATATTTTAAGAAATACATTTTAATAAATAGCAAGAGATGAATGAAAACATGGTTCACACATGCAAGAATGCGTCAAAAATGCAAGTCATCCCTTGATGCTACAGACAATGAGTGATGTGCATGCATATGTGAGTGAACCATCACAGGTCAGTGACTAAAGATGGAATCTAATTATACCCTCTAATGACAATGTACACAAAACTTTTCAAAAGAGACAGTTCCTATATTCTACTGAGAATCATCAGGCACTCAGTAACTGACAAGACATGCATGTATAAATCATTAAAAGCATGTTTTGAACTGGAGCCTCTTCTTATTCCTAATTCAGTATCGTAGCATTACTGCTACTGTTTGTACTTGCTAACTAGTTTTATTCAACGGCAGAAGATAGTGGCGTTTCTAGGATTTGATCTCTGGGTAGCAAAGAGAGGCATAAAAAGGAAACATTCAGGGCTATGAGCTGTACTTAATCATACCTCTGCCAGTATAGAAATTGTTCACTTACAATAAAAGATCCCATCAGTTGATTTTCATTTATGATCTTTTCCCCCTTCACATGATAAAGTTATCATTAGTTCAATCCCATGGGGAGTTCCTTCATCTGTTACAGAAATACCCCAAGTTCAACTGAGTGATAAAGCTTTGCTCAAAATTTTCAGTCGCTTTCCTTAGATTTTAATAGCAACTATCAAACTAGCAATGTCTCCTTGAGCAAGTTAAGTGTCTGATATATTCTGATACAACAGCCTTTGACATCAATACCATGGGGGAAAGACAACAGCCAAACATACTCACCACATCTACTCCAGATGCAAAGGAAATAGACTGCATATGATGGTTTGCTATAATCTGTAGAGAGTTCAGAAGATCCATATGAGTATGCCACCTGCCTAGTGATCTTTTTTCCCCTTTATTCTTAAGTATGTATGTAGTAGGGATGTACATTTGTTTATTAACTAATGAAAATGAAAGAAAAAGTCTATTTGTTATTGTCTTTATTATAACAAGAACAAATAGAACTATAAGCACCTGCTTATGAAGTTGAGGGAGTTCAAGCACAGTTCAGACAGAGAGAGGGAGGATGTACTGATAGGGAAACTGACAATGACTCTTGCCAATCATCACAACCAAGGAGGGCTTGCACCAGAATAGATTTTTTCCTGATAGGTGTTTCTTTCTCAGTGTTTCCACTAATCATCATTAGCTTATGGAGGGCTCTCCTGATTCTTTGAGAAGTTGCTTCTGCCTGAGGTCTGCTATTCTCTAGTACTTTGCTACTCTAACAAAGAGGTATTATGACTTTCCCTTTTCCATTTACTTTAGAAGTCAGTAGTAGTGTTCCCCAGAGGCAAGTGCAAAGCGAACACATGGGGAAATGCTTTGCTTGCTTTTTCTGGATGCCAGGCACTGGTGAAGACTGGGGGGGGGGGGCAGAGGCAAACATTTTGTTTGCTCACACACACACCTCCAGTGTCAGGAAATACTGCAAACTGAGGAGGACAGAAGCCACTACCAGCCACCACCTGTTTTCATATGTCATTAGATGATACATTATGTCACAAGTTGTGAGACATACTGTCACCTTATTTCCTTCTCAGACAAAGGCAAGTTCCAACCCTGCCTTTCTGCTTTCCTGGTGGGGATGGCTGCCTTTGGCTCTGAGGGTCCCACAGGGATGGTGAGTGAGGTAAAAACCTGCTGGTGTTTGTCATCATCAACTTCTGTCTCACAGGATGACCTACTTTTCAAAGGAAAAATCTCTTCCTCTCAGATCTAAAGCCCCTTTCTCATCCTCCCCACAATCCCCTTTGGGTGAAAGCTTCTACAACTACTGCCATGAGGATCCTGGGAAAGAAGTCAAAAAGCCTGGGATGTGAGCACACCACGGCTCCTAAGGTGGCCTGTTGGGGGATGGTCTTCCCTACTCCACCATCATTCATGCCAGGGGCAGGGTCCTACCGGGCTGCTGCACCTGAATGCCTTTGGATGTACTTCTGGCTCTCACGTAAACTTTTCTTCCTCAAAAGAAGCTCAGGGAGCAGGCTGCTGCACAGGTCTGCTGGAGTAAAACATTTCTCTGTTCACTGTGAAACTCAGTCAGTCATTTTCTCCTGCACTGTAATCCTATTTTGGAAGCTAGCTGAGCACTTTGAACAGAAAATGGTAGACCTCCAGAGAACCACATCAAGAGCAGGGGTCATTTCCTGAGGGAGCGCACAGGAGCGGAGCTCCGGCAGTAAGGAGCCCGGGGGCGGGCACATGCAACAAGCCCCGCCCCCTGCTCCCAGCAGCCCTCAGTCAGGCCATGAGGAGCAAGAAGCAGCCAGGTAAGTTGCAGAGTCCCCCCCCCCAGAGCCCGCCTTCAGGTACAAGCTCTCCCTCCTCTGTGAGGGCAGATCTGCACGTCCCCCCCCCCATAGCTAGCAATCCAAAAAGGTCCAGTGGCACCTTTAAGACCAAGTTTTATTCAGGTACAAGCACTCCCTCCTCTGTGAGGGCAGATCTGCACGTCCCCCTCCCATAGCTAGCAATCCAAAACAGTGCAGTGGAGCCTGAGCGGTGGGTGTTGCCTTCTGACACACTTCTGGTGATGTCAGGGGGTGTGGCATATGCAAATAAGTTATGCTAATGAGTTATGCTAATAAGCTCCTGTACCTCTTTTTCTACGAAATGACCTGATCAAGAGAATCATGGTCCTTTCGGGGACTGTCAAAATGCAAATCCCACTTGCCACCCTGCAAACTATTCCTTGGTCCCAGTCACATGCACGAGATAATGCACGGGGGAAGTAAGGCTATTTAACCCGGAGGAAATTGACCTGCAGTTGCGTGATCACACAGTTCTTTGAAGCTGCAGGCATAACCCGCCACTGCATGGTCAGACACAATCGTGGGTGAGTTGGGGTTTTTTCTTGCTGTTTGTTTTTAATTCGCTTAAACAGAGGATCAATGAATTGCATCTCCACACTGAGGGCTTCCTACAGTAGTATGCGATGATGCACATACTGAGAAAGGGAAAAAAACATTGGCACAGAGTCGGGATGGCCTGATCAGACCATCCCGATGCCATGAGAGCGCGCTGGAGTGATCACATGGGAAAGTCCGTCTGTGACCCGTAGCAACCCGTTTGATACTGGACTTTTCCCGGTATTCTTTAACTCCACTTCTTTGGTGGAGTGAGATGGGATGCCGATGGGTGCGGGATGTTTGCCAGATGTTCCCTTGTGATCACGCCCTTAAAATCTGCCCGGCACTCGTGCCTATCGCGCAGCTGATTCTGCGTGTGATCGGGACCCTTGTTTGTTTGTTTTATATCCCACTTTTCTCCCCAGTGGGGACTCATAGCAGCTTACATAATTTTCTTCTCTTCCACTTTATCCTCACAACAACCCCATAAGGTAGGTAAGACTCACAATGTGTGACTTTCATCCAGCAGGCTTCCATGGCATAGGATTCAAATCTGGGACTCCCAGATCCTGGTCTAATACTCTAACCAGTAAACTGTGCTGGTTCTCTGCCTTTCTGGATTCCTTCTTTGTGCCAATTCTGTAATCATGTCTGCATTCTGGGGCTACCAAATATCTGCTCCTGCCTGTTGTGCAAGCAAACGTTAAAAATGCCAATCCCTGCCATAAATTTCACAGGGAGGATCCTATGGGTAATGGATACAGTCCCTGGGACTTTTATGCCAATCAGATGCAAAACAAAGAACTTGCCGCTACTAAGGAAAACTAGAAATGTAGTGTCAAATGAAAAGAAAAATCAATTTAAATAAATTAAATTAAATGAGAGGCTTTGACACTCTCATAAGTAGTGTGGAGTAAACTCAGAAGCCAAAACAAACAAACAAAAGAATCCCAACAACATCAACAATGAGTGACTGAAGTCATGAATCCCTGAACTTTCAGTCACAGCATGCCCAGATGGCAGCTCCTCACATTCTCAGGTTGGCTCTGAGGTGCTAAACGGAAGATATGGGGCTTTTGCACAGCAGGAAGGCTTGTTGTGCTATCACAGTCTGACTCCTGCCACGCAGGACCTGGGGGCACAGCTGGGAGTCACCCACACAGGCAGCTTGCTGTGCTGAGAACCAGTTTGTTCTGAATACACATCCATTCATCCCCCATTCAGAACCACCCCCAGGATGCCCTTTAGGGTCAGACACCCCACTGAGCAACTAGTGCACATAAAAGCAACTGCATATTTTAAGTCAAGATGGCTAGGGTGGCAAGTAAGATTCTTCGAGTTCACACTAATTTTTGTGGGTGCTCAGTCCTATCCTGTAAAAAAGGAAGAAACATCTTACCTGTTTAATCTGAGTTTCGGTGGTCCTTTCACTTTTATTCTGATACTAAAAAGAAATTACAAATTCTGTCTGGGGAAAACCACCCAGTAGTAACGGCTTTGCTCAGTTTTTAAGAAGATAAATCCACTGAAAAAAGGAGGTTAAAGCTGAAGTTTCACTATGTAGAAAACCCCTCTGTTGCTGCTAATCATGCAATTTTATTTTATATTTAACACTTTAGGATCAGGAGTCATGAAATGCAAGTTTATGGGTAGTTCATTTGATACAAATGAACCTGTTCTCATGAAAGTGCTTGCAGAATCAGATGAAGACTTCTACAGAAATAATCAGGCAGACTGCAGATAAGCAATAGGAAGCATGGAACTATAATAATAATGGGCATGGCTTAGAATCACAGACCTGTCTGGAATCAGGAGTCATCAGGTTTAAGCTGGTAGTAGATATATTCAGAGTTATGTTCATTCCTGCAAACTGAAGGTTGCTCTTCCCCAAGATACTAGAGAGAGCTTTGCTTGGTGGCTGTAAAAGGGGAGGGGGAAAAAAATCACACATCTGAATACTCTATTGACATTTGATGGCAGCTCACTCCACATGGGATAAATTGAAGCCTCTAGGGTTTACTAGGCCAGAGTGTGACCTTTTAATCAACATTGTGTGGCTGTATCAATGTGTGTCAATTTGAAAAGGAGGGAAAGTAGTACAGCAAAGAAAATGAAGATCGTGTCCACAGGAAATGAGGAAACAGAGGGCCAAGCTAAACATGACAGCAGGTGGACACAGGTATAAATCAGCAGTGGGTTGAGGGTCTACCAGTCAGCAAAACTGGAGCTAAGAAGTGAGGGGAGCTGAACTCTGTGGCATACGGAGGAAAGATTGGAGAGGGGCTGTCCTCCGGAAGCCACTTTAAATCAGTCCACACAGCTGCTATGTTCACATGGGAAACCATCAATATGGAAAGATTATCCAGCTGGCTAGGACAACTTTGGTCCTTTTGGACTTTCTGAAAGCTTTGAGAAAACCACATTGCAAGCTGATCCATGTGAACAGTTACTAGTGATTACAGCTACCATGCAGAGATGTCAAATAGTCCTCATTCCACGTGCTATCTGTAACGTGTTAAACCAGCCCAAAGTGACTTTCTTTGTCACAGACTTTCATAGGCATTAGTAGGCTTTTCCGAATGCATGAAGAAAAATTAAAAGATCAGAAGGTTAGTTGAGCAAGGTGAAAAGTAAAAGGAATAGGGATATTGAGTGTTGAATTATAAATACAATGCATAACGTCTGCATTGGCACTGGCACAAGCACTAAAAAGATGCTGGCGCAATAAACCCCAGTACAAAACACAGTGCAATGGAAGACCAATCTCTCTCTCTCTCTCTCTCTCTCTTTTTTTTTTTTATAGATCAAGGTGGGCAGCTGTGTTGGTCTGAAGTAGTAGAACAATTTTCGAGTCCAGTAGCACCTTTCAGACCAACTTTAAGACCAATATTTCAAAATAGGAGATAGATATGTAAAAGGATCCTTCTTAATTGTCAAGGGTAATAAACTGATTCTGTTGTTACATACCATTTGCTTCCTCTCAAGGTTGGAGTTAATTAACAACATCCTCCTCAGAGGATGCAGTGCCATGTCAGAGAAATGCACTCCATTACATTCACCATTCCAATATACCATTCCAAAAAGAAATACACTACAATACAGAGGATGTATAGCCCTTCTTGTTCACTAGTGGTACCTGCTGTGCAAAACTCATTCAGCCCTTACATATGTGTTCTCACCAAGAATGTGAGACAATTAATAAGGATACCTTTACACATCTGTCTCCTATTTTCACATATTTATTGTCTCACTGTTTTTCCCCCTAATTAAATCCAAACAAATGATGGCCATATGAACTTAGCTTGTTATTGCTGTTTAGTCTTTGTATATGTCAAAACATCTTAATTAAGTTGTCTGCTAATTTACTGTTCACCTATGAAGAGGCATCTGCCTAACTGTTAGCTTCCATTTCAATGTATCTGAAGAAGTGTGGGTGCACACGAAAGCTCATACCTTGAATAAACTTTTGTTGGTCTTAAAGGTGCCCCACTGGACACAAAATCTATTCTACTTTCTTTTTATAGTGAGAGAATTTTATTCAGAAGTACAGTCACATCTGTGAATGCATCCCTCTCACTGCAATAACCTTTCACATTTCTGTTCCAACACAGCAACCTGTAGGTCAGCGACAGACTGTCCAGTGAAACTGAAATGCACTCGCACTGGGTTCCAGACCATAGACTGAAGCCAAAAAGTATGGGCTCCAGAGATGCCTGTGGAAAGAATGCTGTCAGACAAGTAATAGTAGATGTACAGGCTGAAAGAGTGAACTGTTGCCAGTTTCTGACCCAGAGGTGATTCTTGCTACTTCGCAATTTTGTAGACATAAGGGAATGTAATGCAAGGAAGGTTCCTGCTTAGAAGAAAGTCTTTGTGGCAAACACAATAAATGAACAATATCAAAGCTATGGCAAATATCTCAGGCTGATAATTCCAACATCTTCTATCCATATATGATTGGATATTATGGATTTAATCATAGTAACCAAAGTTCACACATGCATTTTCATCACTATGTGCAACAGTAATGGATGTGAAACAGTCAGTGGAGATAGTTTTCATTCTATCTCCAACATAATACATTAAAATGGATAATCATCTGGGAAACAGCAAGTAGTAATGAGCCATGGAAGATGTATAAATGTTTTATGTTATTATTTATTTTATGTACTTCACTGATACCCCACCTTCCTCCCCAATAGCAGCCTGAATAGCCCAATCTCATCAGAGTTTGGAAGCTAAGCAGGGTCAACCACAGTCAGTATGGGAGACCATCAAGGAAGATTGGGGTTAGTATGCTTCTCACCTCTTGCCTTGAGGGGTTTCTATTGAGTCAGTTGCGACTTGATGGCATATTATCATTATCATCATCATCATCCTCAATGGGACCCAAAGCAGTTTACGTCATTCTCTTCTCCATTTTATCCTACGAGGTAGCTTAGGTTGAGTGACTGACCCAAGGTTACCCAGCAAGCCTCCATGGCAGAATGGGGATTCAAATCTGGATCTCCCAGATCTTAGTCTGACACACAGACCCCCAGATCACTCTCTGCGTGAAGAAGTACTTCCTTTTATCTGTACTAACCCGACTGCTCAGCAATTTCATTAAGTGCCCGCAAGTTCTTATATACCACAGTCAGTATGGGAGACCATCAAGGAAGATTGGGGTTAGTATGCTTCTCACCTCTTGCCTTGAGGGGTTTCTATTGAGTCAGTTGCGACTTGATGGCATATTATCATTATCATCATCATCATCCTCAATGGGACCCAAAGCAGTTTACGTCATTCTCTTCTCCATTTTATCCTACGAGGTAGCTTAGGTTGAGTGACTGACCCAAGGTTACCCAGCAAGCCTCCATGGCAGAATGGGGATTCAAATCTGGATCTCCCAGATCTTAGTCTGACACACAGACCCCCAGATCACTCTCTGCGTGAAGAAGTACTTCCTTTTATCTGTACTAACCCGACTGCTCAGCAATTTCATTAAGTGCCCGCAAGTTCTTATATTGTGAGAAAGGGAGAAAAGTACTTCTTTCTATCCCATGCATAATCTTATAAACTTCAATCATGTCACCCCTGCTGTCATTTCTCCAAGCTAAAGAGCCCCAAGCGCCTTCTTTCTGACACATTAAGTTTTAGGTATAGGGAGGGTTTTCTGAAGGAACATAGGGGAGCATTCAGTCTTGTGATTCCCTATCTACATTGTGAGGGGGTATGTTCCAAAGGAATATAGTACACAATTCTTTTCAGTCTATAAGTGTCTCATAATTGGTTTTTTTAAAATTTGTATTTCAGTTTACAGACATAAAATATAAACTATATTCATTTATGTTAAAAATAATACATTTACATAAATTATACAGAATTTGCTTAAATTTACTTTTTAATATTTAATATTTCACTACTATTTAAATATGTTTTTCATCTATCTTCATATCTAATATCATTTTTATTGTGAAGTATGTCTTACCTAAATCTTTCTATCATTCTCTATTTTGATTTAATTCTATTCTTGATTTTCAGCTATATAGTTTTTTTTTAAAATTCCCTTTTTCTTGAAATTCTGAAGTGGGTCTGTTATGAATGACAGATGTTAACTTTGCCATAGTTGCATATTTATTCAATTTATTCCTCCATTCCTTCAAGTCTGGACATTTTGCTGCTTTCCATTTTGCCACTGTCACCATATCTGATATATATATATAAAAGCCCAGGCATATTGGCACTTTTCAGCTCTCCCATTGGCTGTGCTGTGCACTCCATCAGCCATTGGCCTGTCAACTGCCACTCAAGAGTACTCACATGCCATTGGCTGGGTGCTGGGTCCGCTCCTCTCTCCTGCCCACTCCAGCCTGGCCACTGTTCCCTGTCAGAATAAACTGTCAAAATGGCTGTCTCTCCTAACAAAGATGTTTCTCCTGCTTGGCTCCTCTATGGCTGGCTACTACTGAGGTGGGCCAGTGGCCACCAAACCATTCTCTTCTCCTTTCACTTTCCCCTCAGTGGTCCAGGGCTCTTTTTCTAGCAGGAATTCATTTGCATATTAGGCAACACACCCCTAATGTAGCCAATCCTCCAAGAGTTTACAGTAGCCCCTGTAAGAAGTGCTCTGTAAGCTCTTGGAGGATTGGCTACATTAGGGGTGTGTTGCCTAATATGCAAAGGAGTTCCTGCTACAAAAAGAGCCCTGGCACTTGTTGCTAGGCAACAAAGCTTGGGTCTGTCTGTAAAAAGGCAGCAGGAGGATACCCTTTCCAAGGTCTACTTTGGCCTTTGTGGGGAACTCATTGGGGCCAGTCCTGACTAGGGTTGCCAGCTCCAGGTTGGGAAATTCGTGGAGATTTTGTGATGAAGTCTATGGAAGCCAGAGGTTAGGGAGGGGAGAGGCCTCAGCTGAATAGAATGCCATAGACTCCACCCTCCACAGCAGTTATTTTCTCTAGGAGGAGAGAGAGAACTGTTGTCTGGAGTTCAGTGATACCAGGCAATACTACAGCCAGTGTGGCGTAGCAGTTAGCATTTCAGAGTAGGGTCTGCCAGACCCATGTTCTTGCTGTGGAAGCTGACTAGGTGATTTTGGACCAGTCACAGACTTTCAGCCTATCCTACCTCACAGGGTTGTTGTGCAGATGAAAAGGGGGAGAAGAGAATTATGTGAGCTGCTTTGGTTCCCACTGCAGAGAAAGACTCTACTCTTCCTAAATAGAGGCTTCAGGGATGGGGGAGGAGATGGAAAGCAGAAGTCAGAGGGCAGATAAAGGTAGCTTGATGGTTGGCTGAGAAGGAGATACAGTTGCCACCTCCAGGTTGGGAAATTCTTGGAGATTTGAGGAGTGGAGCCTGGAGAGAGTGGGGTTTGAGGAAGGGTGGGACCTCAGACAGCTACAATGCCATAGATTCCACCCTCCAAACCAGCCATTTCCTCCTGGGGAATCATTGTTGCCAATCTCCAGGTGAGGGCTGGAGATCACTCAGAATTACAACTGCTCTTCAGATGACAGAGATCAGTTCCCCTGGACAAAACAGTGGACTCTGTGTCACTATACCCTGCTGAGGTTACCACAGCAAATTGATGCTGAGTGCCCAAGTCCGGTGCACGTGCCCAGAGCCTCTTTCTAGAGCTCGTTGTATTTATTTCCACAATGGACTTCATTCGTAGTACTGAAATAATTCACTGTCTGTTTTTGTAATATTGCTTGGTAAGATACTTAAAAGCATGTTTTTCTGGTCCATCGCAAACTTGAATGTTAATATCTTCTGCACTTCTTCATGTATCTCTGTCCAATGTTTTCTTGCTTTCTTTCATGTCCACCACATATTATAGAATGTCGTATCCGTATTCTGACATTTCCAGCACTTCTCATTATACTCTTTATTTTCTTTTGCTATATCTTTAGGGGCAATATACCATCTAAAGAACATTTTACACCAGTTCTCACTATCTGACATTCAGTAAGGTTAATTTCTTTAATCCAGAGATTTTCCCACTGACTCATATGTATATTTTCTCCAAACTTTTGCATCCATTTTATCATGCAATTTTTAATTTGCTTCATTTCAGTGTAGTATTGCAGTAATATTTTATACACTTTTCCTAATAGATTAATCTCTGGTAATTAATTGTTGAAAAGTCATTTTCTTTCTTAGTCAGCCACCTTCCTTTCTTGTTCTTTCAATTTTAGTACCATTTGATGATATAATGTGATTTTTCCCCCTTCGCCTTGAACTGTTTGTCAGGATTTTATTCTTCCTTGTTTGTCCATCATCTGCGTTATATGATCAATTTTCTTTCTTTTTAATGTAAATTTTTCATTTTTTAAAATAAATTTTAAAAAATTCTTTCTTGTACTATTGTCACAATAAACATCAACTGGTGATGTCAATGGCAAGGTTGGCAGACTTATTCTGTTGCTGCATTGAAACCATATTCTTAATAGGCCATCCCTCATGATTTGATTACCATCTTGTATTTGGACTGTTTTTAATGATTTCTTGATCCATAGATAATTGTGTATTCTTTCTTTAGTCTCAATTGTCTTCAATTTAACATTCCTTTGGTTTGAGTTAATGATCCAGTCAGACACCCATACTAGTGTAGCTGCTTGGTGGTGCAATTTGATATTTGATACAGCTAAACCTCCTCTCTTTTTTTATCCTTTAATACTTTGAATCTTATTCTTGAATCACACTTTGAATCTTCTTTCTGCTCCACACGAAAATATCTTTTGAGAACCTTTTCATCTATATAAATTGGTAACATTTGAAACAAAAAAGTCAACCGTGGTAACATATTTATTTTGGCTGTGGAAATTCTTCCTAACCATGAAATTCTCAGTCTTTCCCATCTTTCTAGATCTTCACTAATATTTGCCTAATTTTTATAAAGATTATTATTTTGTCCTGTTACATATATTCTCAGATACTTTATTGGTTTTCTAATGACAAAATATAATATTTTTTCTATCTCTTCCTCTTTTGCTTCACTTGACACTAATAAGATTATCCTTGTCTTCTTTTTCTCTTCATTTATATCCAAAATAAGTTCCAAATCTGTTTATTTGTTCCATTGTATATTTCATGGAAATATTATCTCCTGATTGTTGAGAAAAATTGTTCTCTCTAATTTATTTTCTTTTTATAATAATAATAATAATAATAATAATAATAATAATAATAATAATAATAATAATAATAATAATAATAATAATAATAATATCATGGCTCTCCATTTAAATACAAAAAAGGAAAATCTCAATCCCAATTTATACTACAAATATGTGTTGAATATCACCTATTATATCAGCCACAGAAAGTTGTACATGAAGAGCCAGACTCAGATCTCTGATCAATATGGCCTTTAAGATATTAGTCAAGCAATTATAGTCACTTATTCTCTTTGATCATCTGTCCCACTGCTAGTTGTTTTTCTATAATACCGAAAGATATCTAGTTTGTAAATCACTCAGCATAAACAGTGGTGTATAAAATAATAACAGCTGCTAGGGTTGAAATAATTTGTCCTTACTTTGGGGCATATCTTAGTCTCAGAAAAAAATGAAGCCTCTTGTCAAGTTTATATCCTATTATTGTTAGGTGGATCTGTAACTGGTTGACAGATTGCACCCAAAGAGTACTCATGAATGGTTCCTTATCCTCTTGAAGAGGAGTGACAACTGGAGTGCCTCAAGGATATGTCTTGGAACCTGTTTTTTTCCCCAACATCTTTATAAATAATTTGGATGAAGGAATAGAGGAAATGCTTATTAAATGTGCAAATGATACTAAATTGAAAATACTGTAGAAGACAGGGTCCAGATACGGGATGATCTTGACAGGCTGGAAAACTGGGCTAAAACCAATAAAATGAATTTCAATGGGAATAAATGTAAAGTTCCGCATTTAGACAGGATAAATGTGTAATTATAGGATTGGGGAGACTTGTCGGCAGTAGTATGTGGGAAAAGGATCTAGGGGTCTTAGTAGACCATTCACTGAACATGAGTCACCAGTGTGATGTGGTAGCTAAAAAGGCAAATGCCATTTTGGGCTGTATCAACAGAAGGACAGTGTCCAGATCACGCGAAGTGATACTATCGCTTTACTCTGCTCTGGTTAGACCTCACCTAGAGTATAGTGTTCAGTTTTGGGCACCACAATTTAAGGATATAGACAAGCTGGAACGTGTCCAGAGGAGGGCAACAAAGATGGTGAGGGGTCTGGAGACCAAGTCCTATGAGGAAAGGCTAAAGGAACTGGGGCCCCGGTCACACAGGCAGGAAACTGCAGAGGAGAAGCGTGGCTGTTTGCCCTGGGACAAACTACTGCGCAGTTACGCGATCAGACCTCCTGTGGAGGTCCTGTGGAGGTACCGTGGAGGTTCCATGGCAAGGGAGAGGTGCCGATCACAGGACAAGCCGGCGCGCAACGAAGAAGTGCGCGTCGCGGCAAACCGTTTTTTTTTGTGTGTACATGACAAATGCGCATGCTCCGTTGGGTGCGTATGCGTATCCACAGAGACTTGGACAAAAAAAACACACCTTATTTGCAAGGGGACATGGGCGGGCGCCGGATGCCACCGGAAATGCGATCAGACGCCCGCCCTTGCCCCGCAGTTTCTGGAAACTAGTACCTCCAAGGTACTAGTTTTTTGCCACGCAGTTTCGGCTGGAAGCCTCGGTTGAGCCACGGGAGTGCTATGCTTCCCAGATGTGCTGGTGAGATCGCACCCGGAAACTCCGGCTGTTTTCCGTCTCACTTGTGTGGCTTCTGTTACGTGTGACCGCAGCCTGGGTATGTTTAGCCTGGAAAGGAGACGACTAAGAGGTGATATGATAACCATCTTCAAGTACTTGAAGGTCTGCCATATAGAGGATGGTACGGAGTTGTTTTCTGTTGCCCCAGAAGGTCAGACCAGAACCAATGGGTTGAAATTAAATCAGAAGAGTTTTCGGCTAAACATTAGGAAGAACGGTTCCTCAGTGGAATAGGCTTCCTCTGGAGGTGGTGGGCTCTCCTTCTTTAGAGGTTTTTAAACAGAGGCTAGATGGCCATCTGACAGCAATGCTGATTCTGTCACTGGGGTGTGGAGGGAGGTATCTGTGAATTTCCTGCATTGTGCAAGGGGTTCAACTAGATGACCCTGGAGGTCCCTTCCAACTCTATGATTCTAAGTCAGCTCTATGCATATAACAGCTTTGTGTAGATATAACATCTCTGTGTAGGCTATCTAGGGTGGACCTGGAAAAGGAGTGAAAAAGATGTGGACTTGGGGTAGGAAATTGACAGAAATATAACATATTTACCATGGTGTGTGAGATGGGGGAGATTTTGCCAGTTAGATTTTCTGCCTCAGGCACCACTCTTGTCTAATAATAGTTTGTGCTAAAAGGTGATGCAATCTAAGATTTTATTCATATGAAGTCCTTAGAAGATTGCTTTTCATATCTGAATTTGTGTAACATAAGTGTGAAAACAGAACTAAAGCAACATTGTAGCACATTTGAAATGATGTTTACACCACTCTCCACTTGGCATAAACTGCAACTACCGGTACCTATTCCTGGGCTGAGCTAATACAATCAACTTATCAATGAAACAAGAAACATACCTTTCTTTTTTTGAAGGCTCCTTTGGTGCCTGGCACAGCTTCACAAACAAGGCTGATTGCTTCCCTGGAGAGAGAGAGAAAATGTCTATACCAAGTGGCTATGCTTGCTCCTTCATTATTTTTTGAAATGGTGCTTGAACATATTCATATGGGTCAGTTTTGGAAAATCTATGAGATTGTGGCATTACAGTGTTCACATTAAAAAACAGTCAAGCCAGAGCAAGAATTTTCTCCAACATTCTGTGTATTGCCAAACAGTCACAAGATTTATTTTGTTTCAAAATAGACTTAACAGCCCACTGCAGGACAGCATAGGAACATTTCTTGTGAAATAATACTACCAAAATTGAATAAGCATGTAACACTGCAACCAATTTTCATTTAGGCATAATTTCCCATAAATAAAGACTGCAGTCCTAAAGATACTCACTAGGGAGTATGTCCAATTGAGCAACAGCTCAGCAGGATTTATTTCCAAGCATACATGCACTATGCTGAAATTGCACTGAACTGAATTGAAAACAAAGGACTTCACACATTGCTAGTGATTCTGTCTTATTTCAACTAGCACCCACTTAACAGTCATTGATTGGTAGGACAGAGTCCCAAAATGCCATCATTAAATGCAGTAAGCTATCCAGGGCCAATTCACAAGACTCCCCTGCCCATGGAACACATAGGGCCAGTAAATCTGTACTGAATCTGGTTATCATTTAAATGCTGGTTGTGACCTTTAAAGCCCTTCACAGCCTGGGATTTACATATTTGAAGAACCATCTCCTGCCATGTGTTCCTAAGAACCAACTACAATAATCAGGCTGCCATTTGCAGGCTGTTTTCCAAGTCAGAGTGGCCCATCTGGCACTGATCAGAGCTGGAGCATCTGGTGGTGTCTGGAGATGTCCAGGAATTTTAACTGATCTCCAGAGAGGTCAATTTCTCTAGAGAAAATGGCTGGTTGAAGGTGGATTCTATGGCATTGTACTCCACCGAGGCCCTCCCCCTCCCCAAACCCCACCCTCACTAGGGTCCACCCCCCAAATTTCCAAGAATTTCCCAATCCAGAGTTAGCCATCCTAACCAGAACCTGGACCTTCTCCATCATGGCTACCACAGTGAGTAATGGGCTCCCTGAAGAGAGGAAAGAAGGCCCTCAATAGAGATATTTAGAAGGTGCTGCAAGGCTTGCTTGTTTGCCATACCTTTTGAGGGGGCATGAATGGCAAGTATCCTTAAAGGCTGAAAAAGGTATTTAGGGAGGTTTATTTGGTTTTATTCTGTACTAATTGTTATTTCTAAGCCCCTTAGAAAAAAGTGGGGTATAAATATTTTAATAAATAAAAATAAATATTTCCTCGTGTATCAGGTTGCCTAATGAGCTTGCATTACCATGCACCCAATGTTATGGCCTCATAGTCAGCCAGCTAAGAGGAATCATATCAACATTGGGTGCATGGTAATGCAAGCTGATTAGCCTGATACAGATTGCTCCTGTGCACTTCATCAAAAGTAAATCTTGCTTGCACTGAAAAGTGATTTACAGGAATACTGTGAAATGATTTTACATGCTATATTGTTTCATTGTTAAGATCTCAGCTAAGTACTGTCTAATACTAAATTTACTTAGAAGATATCAGCTGCAGGTAAATGGTATGATTGTCATCATAGACATTATATAGTTATTGTTACACTAGCAGTAAAGCCCGTTGTGAAAGCAATACAACGAGATCTAGAAAGAGGCTCTGGGGCAGTGCTCTGGCTTTGGGCAAACAGTGTCAATTTGCTGTGGTGACCTCAGCAGGGTATAATGACAGAGTCCACTGTTTTCTCCAGAGGAACTGATCTCTGCTACCTGAAGAGCAGTTGTAATTGTGAGTGATCTGTAGCCCTCACCTGGAGATTGGCAGCAATTGTTACCCAGGACAACATGGCTGGTTTGGAGGGTGTAGTCTATGGCATTCTACCTGTTTGAGATCCCACCCCTCTGCAAACCCCACCCTCTCCAGGCTCCAGGAGGCAGAAGCCTCCGGTCGCTCGCTCCCTTCCCCTCCCCCACCACAGACTCCTGGGCCGGCAACTGGAGGCCGGGTCCCTTCCCCCCCACTCACTCCAGGGCCGGCAACGGGATGCAGAGGCCTCCAGCTGCCACCGCCATTCCCCCACTCCCCTCCCACCCTCACCCACTACTGTTTACCTTACCACCATCCAGCCTATGCGTTCGTTACAGA